GGGCGGACAGGCGCTACATCTCCCCTTGCGTGCACGTCTCCCTCGCGCTACCCTCTTGCGCCCACTAGGCAGGCTATAGTTTAGCGCACATCAGCTTATTATCATTGACCTTTGCTTTTATTACATGCCTGTCGTCCAAAGACAACTAGGAAGAGCTGTTTATAAGCCTTCACTGAGACTGATACATTTTAGTCGCAACTCGGTTCTTTTTCTACGTATAGCCTCTAATTCCCGAAACTGCGAGAGGCGAATCAAGCATCAAGATCACTCGCGCGGATGCCTTGAAGGATCCAGGTGGAAGCCCTATTCGGCTATAGTCAAGGAAATAGTTTTAAGAACCGTTGCTTATCTAAGGTCTATTGCGAAGATGCCCAGTGAATACACCGCCTGAGTCTGTTCCCGGGGAGGGGGGACGTTCTTGTGAAAGGGATTGGGTAATCATCGGAAAATTGGAATTAAACATCTGAGGAATCCAGCCTCGTTCCCAGTGGTCCTCTGCGAATTCGAATGTGACGTCACTTGTCACGCTTGTTGGGAGAATTTGCGTTCGTTTCCAAGCCTCCTCCGCTCGCTCGGACTGCAGGAACTTGCCTGGGGATGAGGCTGGCCGAGATCAAGACTGGCACTAATCTGAGCGTGGCTCAATCTGATCGCTAGAATATAACCATACAATATCAAAAAAGACGGCAAAAAGTGATTTTAGTTCGGATGATGCTGTTTTCTTCGAATATTTTCTTTTCTTTATATTCTGTTTTACGCCCGCAGCCCAAGCAACCCCTGGGAAGAAATATTGGCGTTCTGTCCTGAAAGCCCTTACTACGAGCAAACCGACTTAGCAACTCCCAACATTGTTGGCCCAACATTGTTCGGAGTTGTTGCACTGTTTGCGCACCACTGCCAATACGAACGCAACAACTCCCAACATTGTTGGCCCGATAATGTTGGGACTTGTTGCGTCCGTTTGCAAGTAGTTAAACGTTTGACCGGTTTCAAACCTTACGCAACAACTCCCAACACCACGCGACAACATGCAACAGGGTGTGAAAACGAACGCAACATGTAATATACAACAATGTTGGGAGTTGTTGGCCGACAATGTTGCGTCCGTTTGCACGGGGATTAAGTGATATAAATAAAAACCTGTAATTTAAAACACCTAAACAAGACGACGAGTTGATTGCTGGAACATTTGAAAGATTCTGTGGAAGTTTCCCATCCAAATGTCTCTACAGTTACAACTCAACTAGAATTTAATTCTGTCACGTGGGCTAAGACTGTTTGCAAGGGACTTTACTTAATTATTTTGTTGTGTTTTAGAATTAATTTTATCAGGAGCCCTGATAACCGGAGTGTCCAACTCCCATACTTAGTCCATGCAACGGCGCTTCCACAGATGAGTTTATTTTTAGCATCAGTTTGGAGTATTTTTTCCCGCCAAAATGGAAGCACCGTCTCGTGTATGTGCGTATCCATAGTACGATAATGAAAAAAGGGAGAATAGAGGCTATCAAAACATCAGACTATTTTATATTAGTGAAATCCAACTAGTGGTCTATTATCAATGCTGCGCTCTGATTGGTTGAGCTTCTACTAGGCTATATGTTATTGCCCACTAGTAGCGAAAAGCGCCGGATTTTTGGCGGCAAAAAAGGGTTAAAGCCTTGCTTTAAGTTTTTTTGTCTCGATATTTTTGACCAACTAGTTGGATTTTACTAAAACAATTATTCCTCTCGCCCTCATGGCCTCTGATTTAACAACCCATTCGGCCTTCGACCTCATGGGCTATTGACTCAGAGCCCATTCGGGCTCGAGGAATTTGTAAGAAGTATTTCTACTCAAAATTTGCTGGAAAATTGATCTTTAAATAAACTGCTCTGTGAAAACGCCGTTGCATGTGGTCACAAGAAAGTTGCTCGCTCCGTGTTATAAACTCGTGATCTAGTTTAAGTCTAACGGCCAGTTTAATTCAATTAATGTATGAGATTTAAACGCAGTTTAGATGCCACTTCTAAACTTACACTTTAGAATTACGAATGCTTTACCTTTTTAGTTTATAATATTTGTAAATTGATTAGCAATGGCAATAGGAGTGAGTGAAATAAAATTAAAGAAACACTCCAGAAGTGCCAATATTGAAAATATATGCCACAGCATCATCTTGACCACAATTTCAAGTATTTCTCACTGACCAAACTTACTGCTTCTTAAGGATGGGTTGCAGTATACCAGTTGCAATCCTTTTAAGACCTCGCCCTGGTTATATTAGGGAGCTTTAGCAACGACGACGGCGACGGCAACGGCAACGAGGACGTCAAAAAAGCAATAGGTTTATTACGCGAAACAACAACTTTGCACGTACATCACGCTTTTTTGTACATTTCTTTACCGTCCTTGCTCAACTACGACGTGAAAATGCCTAATTATGGAGGACGTAAACAAGCGACGACGAATCTCTTTTTCTCTCTCTAAACTTGAGTGCGGTCCTCAAGAAATCAACTTTACCCTTTAAGCGGATGTGAACGGTAAAAGTCGTTTAACCTTATTTGCGCTGTTTCTAACTTTTTTGCCCTTAAGTAAAATTTTGACTGCAAAAGCGACGGCAACGGCAGCAGCTACGATTTCGAGGGATAAAGCCTGATAAAACAGCCGACATTTGGTGACGTCACCACTGGTTTCCCTGCCAAATGACGCTCGATGAACGAGCGTAGAAATTCCATACCGTTGGCGTGTCACTACCCAGATTTGGGTAGTGCCTCGGGATTGGATGAGTCAAATTTCCAAAAATCAGAAGCACTGTTTAGATCTGGGTACAAACGCGTCATAAGTATGGAATTTCTTCCTTCCTCAGACGTCACTTCGATTCGTGGGAACACCTGTAATTGCGTTGGGAAATGTCGGCTGTTTTCCCACAATATGGTTTCGAGTTTTTCCATGTTATACATTCCCTGCAAACTCTCGTCACTCAATTTCTGACTCTGATTGAACTTCTAAGGAAAGTCAAGGTCCATATTGATACCGAGGGGAAGGGGGGCACTATACCCCCTCTACCCGCCTGGAAGTGGGGGAGGGGGAGAGCGCCTTACTGTTGCCATTGACATCCATCGATCAAAGAAAGGAATATGAACGTGCCCAAAGAGCTTAAAACGTAGTCACAACATTAATGCTTACGTTTAACACTACGTACATTTTGCTTATTATAGAATAACGGTTAATGGAATCACCCTGAGGTATGAATAATTAATGAGCTGAGTAGTGTTCTGTGGTACGTGCTGATAGTGTTCTTGGGCCACCTGTGTTCTGAACATCCTGTTGATAGATTGTGCTTGCAAAAAAGGGATAATATGCTGCTAACAGTGCTCGCATATTTCTAAAATTATGCCAATAATATGTTCTTCGTTTTTGTAAATTATGCTCGTCTACCAAGAAAATTTTGAGGAATTTTGAGAAGTACATTTTCCGCGAACTTTAGCTAGTAAGCGCCAATTATTACTTCGAGAACAATAATTCAACGTTCATTGCGAACGCTAATTCCAGCAATCCATCCCGCGGCGGTGGAGGGGGGGGGGCGGAGGGGGGGCCCCCCCAATCGAAGGGGCGGACAGACCCCCAACCCGGCTCAGGGGGGGCACATTGAAACTTTGCGCTCCCGTAGCGGTGTCTATGGCAACGCACTGTTAATTATGTCTCTAGCGATCTCTGGCGAGGCCACACGCATATCACATCAAGACAACAA